CAGCCACACCTGGACATAGCCCTGTCTACCAGAGATCCTGGGGCCCAGTCCTTCACACTAACACACAGGGACTAGACCTGGAATCCCTAAGAACCTGCAGCCAGGGACTCTGCTATCCAGCCTGCCATATCAGAGGGCAGACGTCAGTCCCAGGACAACCGACAAAGCCTGCCACCTTCTGTGGCAGGACTTACCCACCCATTAGCAGGTCAGCACCAGTTCAGGCCCACAGACCAGCAGGCCGAAACAAGCCTCAAGACACTCCACACCCCACAGCAAGCTCTCTTAGAAACCACGCCTGGGCCCTACGGCCAGACCCCAGGACACAGCTCTGCCCCCCGGGGAGATGACACTGGCCATAGGACCTGGCTTTACTTTCCGCTTCCCAGGTGGCGCAAGTGATAAAGAACTCAGCTGCCAATGTAGTAGACATACAAGAGAGATGTGGGTTTGATCCCTGGGTCAGGAAGATCCCCTGGAAGAGGAAATGACAACCCACTCCAGTATTCTTACCCAGAGAATCCCATGGACAGAGGAGGCTGGTGGGCTGCAGTCCATGGCTCGTAGAAAGTCAGACATACTGAGTGATTAACACTTTAACTTTCTTTCACTCGCTGGTAGGCAGGCACCAGTCCTGGGACTCCTGGACCCTGACTTCGCCCATCAGTAAGCCAGCACTAGCCCCAGGGTCCCATCAGGTTCTGCTGCGAGCCACCTCATGACCCATCCCGGCCAGTCAGCAGCCTCTCCAAAGGGCAGGGCCTGGAAATCACCTGGACTGGGTGGAGCCATGGCAAGCGGACCACCCACAAGATGTCTCCTGCGAGGTCGGGAACACAACCAACCCACCAGATACACAGAAATAAAACAGCAATTTAAGAAAAAGCAGGCAACAGAAGAACATACTCCAAATGAAAGAACAGATGAAACTCAGAAGAAAAATTAAGTGGATATCTATCTGAGAAAGAGTTCAAGGTAACGTTAGCAAAGATGATCAAAGAACTTGGGAGATAATTAATACTGTTAAAATCACTCTGCATCCTAAGGCAATCTACAGATTCAGTGCAATCCCTATCAAAATGCCAGTAACAATTATCACAGAAATAGGACAGATAATTTTAAATTTTTTATGGAAGCATAAAAGACCCCAAATAGCCAAAACAATCTTGAGAATAAAGAATAGATCTGGAAGGTGTCATGTTCCCTNGATTGGCTGACTCTTAGTAGAAAAGAGTCCTCGGAATAGAAATCCCAAAGATAAACCCAAGATCCTATGGGGGTCTTATCTTTGACAAAGAAGGCAGAAATATGCAATGGAGAAAAGACATTCTCTTCAGTAAATGGTGCCAGGAAAATGGGGCAGCAATGTGTAAAAGAATGAAATCAGAACACTTCCTGACACCAAACACAAAAATAAACTCAAAATGGATTAAAGACCTAAATGTAAGACCAGAAGCTATAAAACTGCTGGAGGAAAACATAGGCAGAATACTCTTTGATGTAAATCACAGCAAGATCCTCTATGACCCACTTCCCAGAGTAATGGAAATAAAAACAAAAATAAACAAATAGGACCTAATTAAACTTAAAAGCTTTTGCACAGTGAAGGAAGCTATAAGCAAGGTGAAAAGACAGCCTTCAGAATGGGAGAAAATAACAGCAAATAAAACAACTGAAAAAGGATTAATCTTCAAATTATACAAGCAGCTCTTGCAGCTCAATACCAGAAAAATGAACAACGCAATCAAAACGTGGGCAGAAGACCTAAGCAGACATTTCTCCAAAGATGGCTAATAAATACCTGAAAGGATGCTCAACATCTCTCATTATGAGAGAAATGCAGATCAAAACTACAATGCAATATCATCTCATACCAGTCTTAATGGCCATCAGCAAAAAGTCTACAAACAATAAATGCTAGAGAGGGTGTGCAGAAAAGGGAACCCTCTTTTCTATTGATAGGAATGAAAATTGATACAGCCACTATGGAGAACAGTATGCATATGCATGTGTTCTCAATCAAGTCCAACTCTTTGTGACCCCATGAACTGTAGCCCTCAAGGTTCCTCTGTCGATGGAATTTTCCAGGTAAGAATATTGGAATGTGTTCTCATTTCTTTCTCCAAGGGACCTTTCCAACCTAGGGATCAACACTGTTTCCTGTGTCTCCTGCATTGGCAGGCAGATTCTTTGAGGCAGTAGGGAGATTCCTTTAAAAGCTAGGAATAAAATTACCATATGACCCAGCAATCCAACCACTGGGCATATACCCTTAGGAAACCATAACTGAAAAAGGTACATGTACCCCAAAATTCATTGCAGTATTATTTACAATAGCTAGGACTTGGAAGCAACCTAGATGTCCACTGACAGATGAATGGATAAAGAAGTTGTGGTATATATACACAATGGAATATTACTCACCTATGAAAAGGAATGCATTAGAGTCAGTTCTAATGAGATCAGTTCAGTTCAGTTCAGTCGCTCAGTCATGTCCGACTCTTTGCGACCCCATGAATCGCAGCACGCCAGGCCACCCTGTCCATCACCAACTCCCAGAGTTTACTCAAACTCATGTCCATTGAGTTGATGATGCCATCTAGCCATCTCATCCTCTGTCGTCCCCTTCTCAACTAGATTTTAAAATGGACACGAGTCCTGAATAGACATTTTTCACAAAAAGATGTCAAGATGGCCAACAAACAAATGAAAAGATGTTCCACATCACAAGTCAGCAGAGAGTTCTAAATCAAAACCACAATGTGATATTACCTCACATCTGTAAGAATGGTATCATCAAAGAACACGAATAGCAAATGTTGGCAAGATGTGGGGGAAAAGGAATTCTTGCACACTACTGTGGGCATGTCAGCTGGCACATGCACTGAAAAACAGAATGCAAAGTACTCAAAAACCTACAGACCAGAAATACCACGTGATCCTCAATCCCATTCATGTATGAACATCAGAAGAAAGCAAAACCAGTATTTCAAAAAGATATATGCACCCACACGTTCCTAGCAGTATTTTTATGATGACCAAGGCATGTAAAGAACTGTGTCCATCAATAATAGATGAATGAAGTTGTGTGTGTGTGTGTGTGTATATAAACATTTTTATATTAAGTTCATTAACTTTTTACTTGGAGTATAGTTGGCTTACACTGTTATATTAATCTCTGCTACACAGCAAAATGACTCAGTTTTACACATATATACATTCTTTTTTAAATGTTCTTTTCCATTATGGTTTATTCCAGGAGACTGGATTATAAATCATGTATATATAATGGGAGGATCCCAACTCAATCTGACTGATGGGAAGACGCCAAGAAGAGACTCAGAACACACACAAAGGGCAGACTGTGTGAAGATACAGGAAAAGAAGACCATCTATTGATACAAAATGCAGAGAGGAAACCAAACCCTACTGCCACCTTGATCTTGAACTTCTAGCCTCTAGAATTGAGAGAAAATATGTGTCTGTTGTTTAAAGCTACCTGGTCTGTTAAATTCTGCTATGACTGTCTGAATAAACTAATATATTCATACTTTGTACCAAAAATCTTTTGCTTAAAAATAATTCTTAAAAAAATAGACCTTCTTGGAAAAAGATGTTCACTTGATGAATTTGAAACATTTCTTTCTCAGCAGCACCACACATGAAGGAGAGACTGATTTGTTAGAGAGAGGTTTGGGCCGGCAGGGATACGCTATGTGGAGTGGAGTGTGGCAGGCAGGCGTTCACTGAATCCTGCAGTGCCAAGCCTCCAAGATCAGCCAGTACCGTCTCCAAGAATGACCACGTTGGCAAATTTCAGAGACCCAGGTGGTCTGATTAGCTCGGCCTTGACCATTAAAATCAACAGTTAATAATGTTCTGAAAACTTGAATGCCTCATGAATATATTCAAGTCAGGGACATGTTCTTGATTCTGCTGACTTCTCTTCAAATCATAAGACATGCATCTTGTAGAGGTCTCCCAGGCTAGTATGTGTAGAACATTGTGTAGACATTTAGACTTGGTCCATGACCTCCAGGAAGTCAAGGTGGAGATTAGTTAACAATTGTGTTTTCGTATCTTTCCGAGTGTGTTCACAGAACTTGGTTTGAGATGATTTTTCCGAGAGATGGCAGGGTTCCCCACAGGCAGACGTGCCTGTCTGCAAAGGGCTGGCTTCCAGATGACATGTAACATCCATCCATTCATTCACGTTGAGTCCGCTGAAGACACATAAACACACCCAACCGTGGAGACACGGCACTTCCTTTTCTTCTGTGCCGTTGAGCAGTTTCTTTCTCTCTGCAGTTTCCTTCACTTTGTTTTTTTTTTTTTCATGAAAGCACAGCAGGTACAACCATTTTAACTCCATTTCTGGCTGAGATCCCCTTTGGTAAACATTCCCTTAAAGTTAAAAAGAAAACTACTCGTCTTTTTCCAACAATGAGAAAAGTGCAATTTGTCCTTTTTTGTTTTGATTAAAACATCAAAAGCTCGCAGCAAGGGCCTCTTAAATGCAAATGCCCTCTTCACCTCCTCTTAGATTTCTGAGTTCCTTGGGACTTCCCAACAATTCCTGTTTTTCTGAATCTTCTCTCTTCCCCTGGCTGAGAAATTCTACCATCTAGTTCTTTGGAAATCAATGTTAAATCATGTGGATGCTTTGTTCAGCCTGTGGGGTCTTTGACTTTGGGGTTCTGAGCATTTATTACCCTTAGTGAGATTGACAGCATCTGATTTTATTGATCTACAGGCATAGAGAGGACTGGGAAAGTGTTAGGCATTTCATTATGACATGTGACAGATATAAACATTCTGTGTACATATTTTAGCAGGAACAACTTATTTAGAGTTGCATTGGAATTTTCTAACTCAAAGCAAAGATACAGAGTCAGTTTGATAAGCTACTTCTCTTTGAATATTCTACATTCCAGCACTATTCTAATGCTGGAAAGGGATGGAATTAAAAGTGAATACTCAGGAAAGAGCAGTTGTTTTACCTGGCAAAGCCAACGCCTCTGCTGACTCCATTAGCATCTCTTAGTATTCTCGTGGAAATGACATGTCCAAAGGGTTTCAGCATATTCTCAAGTTCCTGCTCATCCATAGAAATGGGGAGATTTGAGATGTATAGGTTTGTTGGGTCTTGCTCTTGTTGCTAAGGGAAAAAAGAAACACATGTGGTAAGTTCTGAATATAGAGAAACACTGCACAAATGGATACATTTTCCTTACATTGCCATCTAGATTCCAATCTCCAACATTCTGCTCAAGTTCTTTCAGTAAGGGCTGTATTTCTTTTCACTGAATTCCTAAGGGCCAGAATGCTTCTCATAGAAACAATGTCATCTGTGACAACCAAGCTTTCTGTCCAGTCTCCCTTAGAAAAGACTAATGAACTTTTATTGTAACTGAACAAAGGTATTGGGCTTCCCTGGTGGCTTAGAGGGTAAAGTGTCTGCCTGCAATGTGGGAGACCCGGATTCAATCCCCGGGTNGGGTTGGGAAGATCCCCTGGAGAAGGAAATGGCAACCCACTCCAGTACTCTTGTCTGGAAAATTCCATGGACTGAGGAGCCTGGTAGGCTACAGTCCCATGGGGTCGCAAAGAGTCGGACACGACTGAGCGACTTCACTCACAAACATGTATATTCTATGACCACTAACCGGTGGTTCTATAACCAGTCTATAATTGCCTTCACCACTAGTTACTAATGTTGCATTTAGAGACTGACCATAGTCGTGTGTGCGTGCGTGCTAAGTAACTTCAGTCGTGTCCAACTCTTTGTGACACTATAGACCATAGCCTGCTAGGCTCCTCTGTCTGTAGGATTCTCCAGGCAAGAATACTGGAGTGGGTTGCCATGACCTCCTCCAGGGGATCTTCCCAACCCAGGGATCCAACCCACATCTCTTACATCTCCTGCATTGGCAGGTGGGTTCTTTACCAGTAGTGCTACCTGGGAAGCCTGTCACAACACACTAGGCATTGTTTAAAATCCTTGATCAAGACTATTTCATTCAATATTCCCAGTATATATAATTGTTACTATTTTAAAGAGGACAAAATTGAGCCATAGCTTGTCTAAGATACATAGCTCGTAAACGTCAAAGCCAGGGCTGAAACCTGGGGGGCACCCCCCAAATTCGGGGGTTTCCCTGTCTTACTATATTGCTTTCCACTGAATCAATGGGGGAAAAGAAGTATGGTCCTAGAACATCATTTATCATCGGCCTCAGCATCAGTTGGGAACTTGCCAGTGATGTAAATTCTCAGGACCCACCCCAGGATCAGAAACTTGAGGGTGGGCCAAATGACCTGTGTTTAATGTCTCAGAATAACGCACAGCCAAAAACTTGACGTGATTAGTTAATATCAAAATAGATCAGATAGTTAAATTTTAATATTTTAATTAAAACAATAAGAAACACAATCACAATGGGAAAAGCAGTTCTGAAGTCTGTAGCAAATGAGATTATATAACAGCAAAAATATCTATTGTGAAGAGATGATATCTTCTGTAGAAATTTGAGGTTTTAAGTACAATGAACAGGATTCCAATTACTATTACAGGTCAAGAAACAAGTTTGGCATGACAGTAAACTCCATTATATTTAGCAGTTCTAAATATTCATGCAGGTCATAATATTTTTATTAGGCTTTGAGGTGAATAAGATCTATTATTAGGTTCTTTCTGAAACACAGTTTAGTTTTCAAGCTTTTTGATCACCAGGGAAATCTCTGCAAATAAATATGCAATCGATCAAAAAATACAACACAACTTTAGCATTTGGGAATATAGTTTAAATGGAGAAACTGTATAACTGTGGTCAGTTTCTCTCATTCTCTCACACACACATCACTAATTAATGATATGATCCTAGAGAGAAAACAGAGATAGCACTTTTTCCTAAGTGACATGATCCCCACCCCCAATGGGAGTGATTAAAAAAAAGTGGTATTTCAGATACATAATAACAAGCCTATGCATATACAACTTTCACCTTTATATTATTTTACTACCCATCCTCTAATTTTAATCTTCATATCATCTTTCCAAAGGCAGGTAAGCCAATAGCATCATAGTTATTGGATAATGAGGAAATGGAGGCACGGATTTTTCATCATCTTACCTGAAGACAATTTGATAATTAGTGACAGGGTTCAAATTAAATTTAGTCAGGTTTTCTATCTTCCATCTCAGTGCATTTTCCACTAGTCCAGTCCAGTGTTATCCACACTTTAATCATTTGCATATCATCTTAGAAAATGTGCCAGCCATGTACTGATTTTATTTACTTAATACTTTTCTTTACATCAAAATACCTTTGGGCTTAAGTAAACCCATTTAAAAAGACAACGTTATGTTGCTGTGTAGCTAAAAGGCCAGGATCACTTGGCATAAGTAGGTTACTATCAAAACTGGTAACAAATTAATGTTATTAAATTATTTTAGATATTGCTTCTTCACAGAAGATTTTGACCTTGGTGGTTGACTCTCTCTTAGTTACAAATGAGATCTGTAATTAGGAGAGGTATTGACTACACTAGGACCAGACAGAGTCTTTTTCCTGGGAAGAATCAAAGTTGAGAAAAGAATAACTTTCTCATAGTGTGATTTTTGGATCTTACACTTCCAGGTCAACTCAAGTCCCAGTGGGAGTTCCTGCTTTAGCCCAGAGAGCAGACTGCAACATATGGTAGTCCCAGGAATGGGTGGGAATTTGCCCGATGTTCTGCACCCCTTTGTCCTAAATGAGGATAAGCAGCCATAAGCAAACAATCCCCTTATGCCAGCATTCTGTACAGTCTTTTCATCTTTCAAGTAGCATTCGACCAGTGTATCCTGATTCATTTACTTGCACCTTCTCAAAACGGAGTGCAACAAACAGACAGAGCTTAGTACACAAGAGACTGCCCAGCAAGCCACTTTCTGAATTAAAATTCAAAGAGCAAAGCCAACTCCTTAATCTGTATTCACAGAGACAGTACAGAATTGGAGAGTGTCATCCCTTGATTTGTGTTCATAGAAAGACTATAGTGTTGGGCAGTGTTATTCATTAAGTCATTCTCTCCTTTGAAATACAAGTCTTGAACAAATACATTTGTTGACTTGACAATAGAAATTAATTTCTATATAGAATGAACTTTAAAATAATATATACATCTATGTTTTCATTATTTATGTATCAGATTTATGTAAACAGATGGTTTCTTTTGAAAGGCTCTTTGGCACTGTGAACCTGAAAGACTATGCCTTTTAAATTTGTAAAAAAACATAACTCACGTGATACCTACAATCTAGAATCTTTTACCAAACTGTTTTTCACTTTTCCTGATCATTGAGCTCCAGAATGGAGCTGAAGGGGCAGCTCATCCAATCGGATCATTTAACAGACGGGGGAAGATAGAGGCTGGAGTAGTGCTTATGAGTTACTCCAGGCCACCCAGCTAACTAGTAACGGGCTGGAAATAGAAACCCTGTCCCTTCATTCCTGGTCTAATGTCCTTCCCAATGCTTCATACTGCCTTTCCCCGTAAACTCCAGAGAATGGTAGGCAGAAGTTTGCAGTTCAAAGAACTATTAGTACAGAAAAGAATATCTCTGCATATCTTATTTTATTCACTTTTGCATATTCATTACTTAGTTCATACACAAAGTTAAGGCTGCCAAAAAAGGGGGTCCCTGGCCTTAGCTGGCATTTCACGCACCATCTCTGAACGACTCCTCTGCAGCGGGTGATCTGTAAAATGTATGACTGTGATTCATACATCTACTACATTTAACTGACCGTGTCACCATAAGTAACTCCTCCATTTGGTCTGTCTGTATCTTTTCATCTGTATAGGGAGTTCTTGATTTATTATTATTTAGCTTTGTCAAAAGACTGTGAAGAAGTTAGAATGGTACCTGCCCCATTATTAATGGGAGCAGAGACCTTGCCATTTTATGTAAGAATATGTAAACATTCATCTCATGACTTCACTTTCCATGGATTTTTGGTGTTAGATTTACTGGTACTCACTCACTTTTTAAATGTAGTTTGGAACAACTTCAGAACATTTTGAAGAAGCTTAGCAAATGAAGACAAAGAGAGGACACATTATTGCTCATATCATGATCAAATATTATGTCTGGGTCTCTATTTGTTGGATACATAACATAACAATTATATATACATGATTCTAGAAAAGGTAACAACTTGTGAACAAGATTTCAACACTCAATCTGTTAACACTCATGCTTGATGAAATTATATTTAAATATTCAGGAAGTAGTTATTGGCATTAGAGATTTTAGAGCAAAGTTTCTCAAGCCACCTGTGGTGGGAACCATTTTTATTTCCAACCTGTCACAAACTGATATTTGTAAAATATTTATATTTGTCAAAGCTAATAGAACAAAATTAAAAGACACAAATGCAAGTTGCAATTTTTTATTGCCATATTCAACAGATCAAAATTACATTTGGATTAAATGTCATGATAATGTGAAATTGTTATACAAAGTTTTAAATGCTTACTGTCTATTTCTGTATGTATTTCATTTTGAACAAGTACTATTTGGTAGATCAAATTATAACATTACTTTAGGGGACTATATTTCTATTTTTTCCATGATAATATATTACACTAAGTTACTGGTCTTTGCCTACTTTATATACTATCAAGTTTTTTGTTTTTTTTTTAAAGCACAGCATTATGTGCAATCAATTAATGGTCACTTTTAACTGTTAGGTAGACAAAGTTGTCTCAGATGAATTGTCCTGAGCAGTGGTGACAAAATATCCTGAAATATCCTGAAGATGTCTGAAACAACTCTAAAGCAAACATATAATTTTAAATATTTTTAAAACACATTGAAGGGGATGGTCATATAGACTACAGATAATGATATTATTCCTTAATGGAGCAGAGTTTTACAGTATTTAAGGTGTTTGAGGGCATTTATTTTATTTTGTATGGCCCTTTCTAACACTCCTAGGCAGTAGATAGGCAAGAATTATTATCATCACTCTACAAATGAGAAAAATCGATTCTGATATTTTAAGAAGGACACCAAACAGACATGGCAGGTAAGTGAATAAATGACGTCATAAGTGATATTTTTGATCTTGATCAAGATCAAGATAGTACCCTTTCTACTACAGTAC